AAGTCTGAACATGGATTGCATTTATGTTATTCATATACCTTATGCACAAAGCCTGAAGGTAATGCTGTACAATAGTTTTAGTAAATTTGTGCATGATACAAAAATTTATGGAGTAGAATTTCCCACTGGTGACATCATGCCAGCACTGGAAAATCTGAGGTGTTAGGAACATTTTGGATTACAGATGCTCAACCTATATAATACTTTCACAAAAAGTTAAAACCTGTGTGATGTTTGACTGTAATTTTATAAAATTCACATGTGCAAATATCTAGTTACAATGACTCTTAGAATAACAGTTCAAGAAAGACATCTTGGAAAAAGCAATTCAAGTAAAAGGCCTGTCAGAATACAAATTTTTTTTTTTGACAGGCAGAGTGGACAGTGAGAGAGAGAGAGACAGAGAGAAAGGTCTTCCTTTGCCATTGGTTCACCCTCCAATGGCCACTGCGGCCTCAGTGGCCAGTGCGTTGCACTGATCCTAAGCCAGGAGCCAGGTGCTTCTCCTGGTCTCCCATGCGGGTGCAAGACCCAGGGACTTGGGCCATCCTCCACTGCACTCCCTGGCCACAGCAGAGAGCTGGCCTGGAAGAGGGGCAACTGGGGCAGAATCTGGCGCCCTGACCAGGACTAGAACCCGGTGTGCTGGCGCCACAAGGCGGAGGATTAGCCTAGTGAGCCATGGTGCTGGCCGCAGAATACAAATTTAGCTGTGGTAACATAAGACCCAAACTCACAATACTCGCTTAAAAGCCTTAGAAGTCTCAATCTCTAGATATGAGGCAATCAATCCCCAGAGATATGGTTTCAGGAACTTAGGCTCCATCTGTCATGTGGCCCTCTTCAGTTGTTTTGATGGTTGAAGATGGCCCATAAGATCTGGGTCTACACTGCAACAGCAGGAAGCATGAAATGGTGGGGCAGGTGTTGTGATCCAGTGAGTTAAGCTGCCACTTGAGACACCCACATCCCATGTAGGATTGCCTGAGATCAAGTCCCGCCTCTGTTACCAGTCCAGCTTCCTGCTAATGCACATGGGAAGTGAGAGTTGATGGCTCAAGTACTTGGGTTCTGGCCACCCCTGTGGGAGACCTGGATGTGGTTCCTGGCTCTTGGCTTCAGCCTGACCCAGCCCCAGTTGTGGGCATTTGGGGAGTTGGAAGACTTTCCACTTTCTCTTTCCCTGCTTTCTTCCCTCCCTCACTCTCCATCTCCCTCCATCTCTCTGCCCTTTGAATAAATATATAGAAGGGGGAAATTAGGTAGAAGAGGGAACAGCCATCTTTTTAAGGCACAACCAGAGATTTTCACATCTTGCTTCCCACTGGATGAACTTAATCATATGACTACACTTCACTGCAAGGGAAGCTGGGACACAGGTTTCTTGTTGTTGTTGTTGTTGTTGTTTTTTAATGACAGGCAGAGTTAGTGAGAGAGAGACAGAAAGAAAGGTCTTCCTTCTGTTGGTTCACCTCCCAAATGGCCACTACAGCCGGCGCGCTGTGCCGATCCAAAGCCAGGAACCAGGTGCTTCCTCCTGGTATCCTATGCGGGTGCAGGGCCCAAGCACTTGGGCCATCCTCCACTGCTTTCCAGGGCCACAGCAGGGAGCTGGACTGGAAGAGGAGCAACCAGGACAGAACCCCAGGGTGCCCATGCTGCAGGTGGAGGATTAGCCTAGTGAGCCACAGCACCAGCCCGGTTCACAGGATCTTAATTGGGAAGGTATTTGTTCATCTAAAACTTAGAAACCCTATGACTGAAGAAAGAGGGGATGATGGGATACAAGGGAACTAGCAGATTCTGAGATTCTGTCATTTGTAAGAGATTAAGTAATAAGTAACATGAAAGCTTAATTACTTTCACCTGTGAAGCAAAATAAATTTATCTTTAGACATGACAAAACAATGAGGAAGAACATAAGTGATTGTCACCTCCACAAACCTGTCTATTTAAATTCAGTAAAAATTCAGACAGTGAATTGAACAATCAGGTATTAGTCATTCTAAAGTTCCAGAAATACAATGTGAGAAATAGCACTGCTGGGCCAGGGCTCATATAGCGTTCGCCTCGGGTAGGAAAAGGCATTGCCAGGGATTGTGCTCAAGAAAGATGACAGCTGACTGCTGGGAAAGAGGTAGACATCAGGTCATGAGTGCTAGACTCAACACAGATCTTTGGCTGCTCAAACTGAGCAGTGGGCAGAATCGACCACCCTCGTGTTGGGAGGACAACTGCAATACAGGCTGCAGGGACTGCCCCGAATCTTTTACCAGGAGGTTCCAGTTGAGATGAGGTACAAACCACTGCTGCATTTAGCCTCAGGGGTCCCACACTATAAACACTGAAGGGAAAAGAGTAAGGTAAGACCCTGGGCAGGATCAGGACCGAGTATGATATTGGAGAGAGACAAAATGGGAAATGAAGGAAGGAGGAGAGAGAGAAGACAGGGCATAGTCGATGGCTGTGGTCTGATGACAGGAATCAGGGGAATTAATAAGCAAGGTGAGCAAGTCCATAGTGTCACAGTCACCACGGAGTTAGGGTCATGGGCAAATTAACTGTTCAATTTGAGGTATAAAGCTGCAACATCTCAAAATCAAAAAATGTTCTTGGTAGACAATGACCTCTGGTTCTTCTCTGGTATTATTAATGCAATTCTGTCATGGAATTGACAATAAGAAATACAGCCCCTAATCTTGTTTAGGACTAATATTTCAGTTTTACCAATCACTTAAGAAAGAGCACATAGAAGAATCTTTAACACTGGAATATGTATGCTAATGACGTGGATGTTATCATGTTTACCTTGTTTAAGAAATATTTTGTTTCACCTCAGAGTGGAGATGACTTTCTGCCACGGACTTTTCAGCTTCACGAGTCAGTGCATACTGCCTGAGCTACAGCAACAGGAATACAAATTTTCTAGCTCACTCAGTGCTGCCATGATGATAAACTTGTACTTGCAAAAAGACAGAATTGACTACTGAAGTCTCAAACACAAGAGTAGTGGAAAGTCCAAAAAATATTACACAGTGATATATAGTTTTGAAAATGGAGTTGACTTGAAAGCTGGAAGTCATAATGTTTCCATAATAATAATATTCTATGTGAATAGCAAAATGCTTTAATGGTGCATTGATTAGATTATAATTATCACTGTGGATAAGACACAATTTTATAGGTAAGCAATAAGGCTTAGAAAGTTTTAGTAACTTGTCTAAAGCGCTATGAATCAAATGTTGTGAAAATAAGAATTAAATACATGTGTTTTAACTCCCTGTCCAGAGCTCTTTCCAATGTGACACCTGCCTCTTCTGAACTTCAAGTGACATGAATTTTCTTATTTACTCCTGCATTCATTCAGCAGCTATCAGTTGCATACTTTGTGTTGCTAATCATTGTGCTAGGCATGAGACTGCTGTGACTGACAAGGCAGTCTTTGCCTTCATAGAAAACTTATAATCTGGCAAAGCACAGAGCCATGTAACCCACCTAACCATTATGAAACAGTGATGCTACATCAGCAGAATTGTGCAGGCTGTGGGAGCACACGAGAAAGAAATTCCAGAGTAATTAATGTTTATCTTGAATTCCCAAGGATTAGTAGGAATTGAAAGAATTAAGAGTATTCCAAGCCCAAAATAAGGTATATATAAAGTCACTCCGAAGAGAGAGATGATCCTATGTCAGGTCCATAATAGAGAAAGACTCAAAGAAGGTACAAATTCAACATTTTGTAACCATTCCTCCTGTATGACTGACACATTACCTATTCATCCATGCATCTATCTTTCCATCTATGCATCCAGTTGTTCTCACATTCATCTGCCTATCCATCTACCTGTCCAGCATTCTTTCTTAGCCTCCATTCTTTATGTCTTTTTTAAAAAAGATTTGTTGGCAGTGGTGTGGCTCACTTGGCTAATCTTCCACCTGCGGCGCTGGCATCCCATATGGGCGCCGGGTTCTAGTCCCTGTTGCTCCTCTTCCAGTCTAGCTCTCTGCTGTGGCCCGGGAGGGCAGTGGAGGATGGCCCAAGTGCTTAGGCGCCTGCACCCACGTGGAAGACCAGGAGGAAGTATCTGGCTCCTGGCTTCAGATCGGTGAAGCGCTGGCCATAGCAGCCATTTGGGGGGTGAACCAATGGAAGGAAGACCTTTCTCTCTGTCTCTCACTGTCTAACTCTACCTGTCAAATAAGTAAGTAAAAAAAAAACATTGTTTATTTATTTCAAAGGCATAGTTAAAAAGAAGGGCAGAGGCAGAAGCAGAGGGAAGGAAGGGGGTGGGGGGAGAGATCTTCCATCCACTGGTTCACTCTCCAAATAGCTCCAACAACCAGGGCTGGACCAAGCTAAAGCCAGGAGCCAGGAGCTTCATCCCAGTCTCCCATGTGGATACAGAGCCCAGCTCCAGCTGTTTTCCCAGGCATTAACAGGGAACTATGTCAGAAGTGTAGCAGCCAGGACTTGAACCAGTGCCCATATGGGATGCAGGCATTGCAGGCAACAGCTTAATCCACTGTGCCACAGTACCAGCCCCATTTTTTATTTCATCCATCCTTCCATCTATCTACCTTTTTTTCTTCCTTTTTCCTCTTTCTTCTGTCTGTCCTTTTATTCACACATCCATAAAATCAGGTGCTAAGATATTGAATGAACTAATTTCAAAAAACATTTATTGAGAGACGTATGAAATGTCAGATACCATGCCCATCCGTGTAGAGAGGATAAAGATATATAAGACGTCATCCAACTTACATGAAGCCTAAAATCTGAATAAAGAGATGAGTATGAGCACATCTTACTATTACAACACAAACTGGATGACAGGTGCCCTAAGAAATTACCACTGGCTATGGGCTACTGTATGGAGGGAACTAAAAGTTTCACTGATAAAATTAACAGGCCATCATCAGACTGAACATCCTCAATATTTTCCCTTAGTCTTCTTATTTGTTTCATCTTTTGTTTTCTGAAATCTGTTGTTCTTTCACAGATTCTGTGGCAACAGCATCCGGACCACTACTTGTTGAAGTTGCCAAAACTCCTGGTGCCAGCCTTGGGGTTGCCCTAACTACCTCAATGTGCTGTAACAAACAGGTCATTGTCATAGATAAAATCAAATCTGCAAGTATTGCAGACAGGTGAGTGACACAGAAAGTCCTTCCTTTTCAAAACTTCATTTGTATTTAAAAAATACACACACACACAAAATATATATTATACACACACACACACACAAACACATAGACACATGGACAGTAAAAGGCAATTCTCTTGCCAATTTTTACAGATTTCAGGTAGGGAAACAAGTTACCATTGTGGACTTATCAACCTCTCCATGTAGCAGTGTCACCTCATTTGGATGTTTGGTGTACCCTTTAAGTGAAGAAAAAAACAAATGTCAAGCAACAGAGCAAATTTCTTACCGTGTCCTAGGGTAACAGCCTGTTCTTGATGTAGGATAGCTCAACAGATCTTTATTAAGCTCCAGGCTGAGAAGTTATGAGTTTTCCTGAACCATAACAGTTAAATTCTGCTATCATAAAATTTTATTCCTTTTTTCCTTAATATATAAAGCTATATTTTTTAAATTATGCAATTTTTAAAGAAAGATCTTACACTGTCCAGTGGTTCATGGTCTTAAAAGGTCTCGTAAAACATTATTTATTCCAGTGTCACAATAAAAATGAAGTTTCTGTTCCCAAAAAAATCTCCACTTCAAGTGCATCAATGTAAAATTGTAATTTTAATGAAAGGGATAGTGGATGATTTAAACCACTTTTGTCTTGAGAAATATGCAATATATGCTTGAGATTTTAATATAGACTCAAACAACCAGTCTCCCATTTGTGGTTCCAACCTTCTTTTCCACATCCCTTTGCCTGCCTGGAAAACTCAGACTGTGGTGCCGGGGCTTGCAGCAACCCCAAGCAGTGGTCAGTCTACAGCTTCCCCATGGTCTAGCTCTGTGTGCAGACCTTTAACCATGACAGCCATTGATCCAGGGGTTTCAACAGTTCAATGGTGCAGGATGCTTTAATTTTCTTCCTCTGTTTTCTCCAGTTCCACAGGGGCTAACCAGTTTAAAGAGCTGTCCAGTTGACTGGTACATTGGGATGCTGACTGCTGTGTTTGCTTTTCTCAGTCCATCCAGTAGCCAGTCTCTTGGGTTTAGCAAGATATAGCAGCCAGACCCTCCCTCCACACTCCCAACTGCCCCCTTGATTCAGCATGCAGGCCTGGCTTTGTTGCTCATTTGGCCATTGCATAGATTCCATTGGTATCAAGCTCCTCTGTACTAATAAATATGTAACCCCAGAATAACGGAATACAACACAATAATAGCTGGTGCCCTGGGAACTTGAATTGAGAGGTTTCTGAGGAAGAATTAGTTGGATCTCCCCCTTCAAGTTATGCTCATTCATATATAAAAATAGACCCTCTTCCAGTTCTGTGAGTCACGTCTTGAGATTATGAATATTTACCAATTCATAGAAAAGCCTAGAAGGAAAAAAAAAAAACCACACACAGAGAGAAAAAAGTCAAAAGGGAATTTTTCCTGTCCTTGACTCCCCTCTTGCCCAAGTCTCAACTTCCAGCATCACTGCCCCAAAATAATATTTTTTAAAAGAAGAACAAGATTATTCTTTTTTCTGTTTTCTACAAGGTTCTGCAGTCCTGTTCACACCCAAGGTATTCAAATTGGACAGATGTTTCCTATAACACTCAAATTTTTCCATTTTTTTTATTAAGTAAATGAAAACTGTGTGAAAATCTAACTCTGAAGGACATGAAAGTCATATTTCAAAGAGGAGAGCACTTGGTCGTGCTGAGTCTGTCTCCTTCTCGTAGGTGCGGCGCCCTGCACGTGGGCGATCACATCTTGTCCATCGACGGCACCAGCATGGAGTACTGCACGCTGGCAGAAGCCACCCAGTTCCTGGCAAACACCACCGACCAGGTCAAGCTTGAGATTCTCCCACACCATCAAACGCGTCTGGCGCTGAAGGGCCCCGACCATGGTGAGAGGATCCAGCTGCATGTATCTTCTCTTTCTCTTGTGCTTACAGTGGTTGCTTGCTCTAGAGATTCAGAAATCATGGAGACACTGGGTTTGATTCTGCATTTATTCTTTCTTTTCAGAACAATGGATTACTTTCGTTCATGCTTCTTCATCTTCCGAATGCCTTTTTCCAGTCCCACATAATTTACTTGAGTCCTCCAAATTAAGAAAAGAAGCACTGTTTGAAGTAGAATTTTCAGGCTACTATTTTTTAAAGCCTTTGGTGCAAATTAAGTGTGGAGAAAAGGGAGCTAATTTGACTTCCTAGTATTCATATTGAATTTCCAGTGCACTTAAAGGTCAATGAAAACATTAGTAAAGCTTTCATTGACTTTGGAAAATAAATATTAATATCAGCTCCTTCAAATATTGCAAGGAAAGGGAAAATGCTGTATGTAGGGCTGACTTTCTGTGGTTTTGTTTGACTAGCTAGTTTTTTTCTTAGCACAGAGAATAACTTTTCTTTCCAACTTCTTAACAACGTTTCTGCATTTTTATTTCCTTGAGATTCACAGGTACATTTGCCGGATATTTACCAAACACCCACCCAGGAAACTTTACCCAAAACCTAGTGCAAAAAAAGGGGCGTTGAGCCCCAAACCAAATGAAGTCAGGCTCTGGAGGCAGGACATATCTCTGTTCCAACTCCTTCTCCTGTCTTTTCCTTAAACCAAACACCCTCTTTTTTTATCCCTTGAAACCAAAGGCCTTGCTGATGTTGAATGGCAGCTGAAATGAGCAGATGGCCTTTCAGTATGTTTGGAGAGGGGGCAATTATCTCTGGAGTGGCCATTTGCTTATGAGGAGGTCATTTGTATTATTATACATTTTCTATCTCCTAAAATGCATTGCACTTCTATGCAGTCTGAAAAAGAGAAAAAGAGAGAGACCAGATAATTTTCATACTGAATGAGTCAGCTGGATGCAGCCTGTTTAATTAAATGGAGCTTAGACAGCCCTGGAGCTAATGAAAATCTCTAGTACAACATTACACTTATCAGATTTTAATTTTACACATTGGAGCAGAGAAATGATGCAGCATATGCAGGTTATGAAAAACTAATCAGCATCATTTGAATAGAAAAGCTAACAATGGGTAGGTGAGTTCACGGGAATGCACACTGTACCTATCAAGAGGCCCCACAGACCTCTCCCACACACTGGGCTGAGAGACGAGATTTCTGAAAGTTTCTTCCAAATTAAGTCATCATTAGATTTGGGGAACAGTAGGTATAAGAATGCACACTGTGTCATGCTCTTTCAGCATTCAGTTTTGCTTGCTAAATTCTGCTATCCATGCATTGGAAATGTATAACAGATCCTTTTGAAAAGTTGCCATCTTCAGCAACTTCATTTATTCTTCTTTTATTTGCCATGTATACAAATTATGAATAGTTCAAATAGTTTCCAGCTCATCAAATATTAATTATTTTTACCTGCCAAAGCAATCGAAAAGATGTTTATATATGAAAATATATGGAACAAGAGCAATTCCTTTCACTGTGGAAAACCTGATATCGTTTATATTTGGAGTCTGATAGTTCAACTCACTCTTACTTCCACTTTTGATTCTATCATCTACTTATGTTGAAAGTTGTTAACCATCTTCCTTATCTAGCATTCAGATATCTCCCTATATTTTACATTAAAATCAGGCATTTCCAACAGAAAGTAAATATTGGCTCCTATACTTAATGATATCACAGTGAAGAAGGAAAAAACAGATTTTTTACCACATTTATAGCTATCAAACTACTGTATTTTATTAATGTAGATTCACACAGATAAATCTTTTTCCACAAGAAAATTCTAATAGTCTTTATTTTTTTTTCATGATCTCAGATGCCTTAACAGTGTTTCTCATTCCATCTGTGGATGAAGATACATTTTCCAAATGTTGCCAATAAAAGACTTATCACAGTATTTTCAGGACAATGTAGCAATGGAATTTTTAGAAAAAGAGATTAGTTTGCAGCCCTGAAGAGGCCAGCCAAAATGACTTTTCAGAAATTGGCCCCACAGTGAGGATCTTTGTGGGACGTAATTGTGATTGTGGAAGCCGAGACTATGGAAAAGAAAATCTGGCCAGAGTCACTAGGTCTGACAGGTTGGGTACCAGGAGGACCTTCCATTTGATGAGCTCTGGGGGCCATGCCCAGAGCAGCTGTTGCCCACTTTCTGGAACATGCCTGGCAGGGCAAGAGGGTGCAGGTAGAAAGGAAAACAAAGAAAAGTACCTCATCTGCCTCTTAAAACTGCCACCAGGGAATGATGTGGAAAGTGTTCTACTTTAAACTCACTTACCTGTGATAAGGGACTTGGGAACACCCATAGAAACAGGCAGAGTAGTGTGGTGGCTGAGGGCAGGGGCTCTCCAATCCGACTTTCAACACCCTCATTCTGATCCAGTACTTGAAATGTTAAGCAGGTTACTCGGCTTTTCTACCCGCCGGATTCTTCATCTATACAAATGAGGGTTGTAATAATAGCTGCCTGTTAGGAAGATTGTGAGCATTATCTGAGGCAACCCTCAGAAATGCACTCAGCATAGCACCTTGCATATAATAAGTACTCAGCAAAAGCCAGATCCTATTATTGGCATTATTAAGTGAAAGAATATTCTTTGCAAAATGAGGGTGCATACCAAAAATGTAACATCTTCTTATTAAACTCCTGAAATATTTGCCTTATGTATGAGTATCAAGTACACCACTCAATAAAGCAATAGATTTGGGATGTACATTCAAAATAGGCAGTAACTGTCTTATCTGGCCTACATTATTTTTTAAACCCCTTTGGCATTCATTCTCCATGGCATAGTTTTGTATATTAGCTTATATCATTTTTATCTTTTAATTATTTCATAAGTACAAAGATTTGGTTCCCAGCAACAGTTCATAGTAAAAGTTATGAGCTACATTTAACCTGCTGACAATAATTGGCACAGTACTGGGCACACAAAAGGTGGTGAATAATGTCTTCTTTATTGACTTGTTAATTGGACTTGACACTTTTAACATCTGCCCAGTAATTTTCAAAGCACTGTAATAAAGAACTTGGTCAAAAGGTGGATATAGAATTCTGAAGCCCATTCACTGAACCCTGGCTTCATTTAAACATAGACAATACTCTATCAAGGGGAAAACTTCCTATGCTTCTAAATTAGCCAGACCCAGCAGTAACTGCCTCTTGCTAAAAAGTGTTCTTTTATACCCCAAAGTAGAATGAAGATGGTAAAAGAGAATTTATTAGGGACTTCCCTGCAACACTTTTTATCTCAATGAAAATGTTGCTTCAATATAGACAGTTCTGACTGATATTTCTCATCATTCATGCATTCATTTATTCATTCATCAATCATTATGTACCAGGTAGTGTTGTAGTTCTAGAATGTGTCCAGATGAGCAAAAGTTGATCCTTGTTTTTGTAGAATTTAAATTCTTGTATAGACAAATATTAAAAATACATGACGTGGCCGGCGCCGCGGCTCACTAGGCTAATCCTCCACCTGTGGTGCCGGCACACCAGATTCTAGTCCCAGTCGAGGCACCGGATTCTGTCCTGGTCGCTCCTCTTCCTGTCCAGCTCTCTGCTGTGGCCAGGGAGTGCAGTGGAGGATGGCCCAAGTGCTTGGGCCCTGCACCTGCTTGGGAGACCAGGAGAAGCACCTGGCTCCTGGCTTCAAATCAGCGCGCTGCGCCGGCCACAGTGCACCAGCTGCAGCAGCCATTGAGGGGTGAACCAACGGCAAAGGAAGACCTTTCTCTCTGTCTCTCTCTCTCACTGTCCATTCTGCCTGTCAAAAAAAAGAAAAAGAAAAGAAAGAAAGAAAAATACATGATGTAGATAAGGTCATTTCAGACAGGAATAAATGCTATGAGGAATATAAAACAGCAATTCTAACACATGAGAGAAAGCAGCTACTTCAGCCTGAGATTAGGAACCAGCTTCTTGGAGGAGGTAGTGCTGAGCTGAGAATGAATAATGAGAAGGAGCCACCCATATAAACAACCGCTAGAATAGCAAGTGCCAGGGCCCTGGGGCAGGAAGGAGTCTGGCTTGTTCTAAGAGCAAGCATGAGACCAGTGTGACTAAACACATGAATGATGGCGAGAGTGACAGAGATGAAGTCAGATGGGTGATAGGGGACACTTTCCACTTTCTTTATAATGGGAAGCCATTTAAACATAGTAACAGGATCTAACGTGTGTTCCAAAGATCATCCTCACTGTGCTGTGGATCCTGAAAGGCCAGCACACAGGAAGTCACTTGGGGAGCCAAGTCTGAAGATGTTGCAGTGATCTAGGTGAAGAAGGTGGTGGCTTTCAACCAGGGCACTGGAGCAGGGGAGGGATCCCAAACCCAACTGGTTTATAGTGGCACAATTACAGTTGCTAGAAAGTTAATCCACAGATTGCAGAGAACAAAACTTGTTGAGTGAGATACCCACCCATGTCACTTAAAAAATACTGTATTGTTGGTAAGTAAGTGAAAAATTAGGCAGAATCAACATCATTACTCCTTTGATTTGATTCTGTGTATCAGCACCATGCTGAGTGCCTTGTGTGTCTGTTTCTCATAGTACTGTGGGGTAAATGCTTTCATGATCTCCAGTTGACATATGAGGAAACTAGTACTTAGAGAACCTGGGTAGCTGGCCATGGTCATAGAGAGAGGAACTCCACAGTGATCCATCTGTCCCTGCTTTATGCTTTTGTACCACGTACGGCCTCACCCCTGGCAAGAATATGAGGTGGCCAGGGAAGCTGATTTCATGGATAGTATAACTCAAGCTGTAATCTAAATGACAATCCTTTTTAAAACAGAGTATTCAGCCTCTCTGTATAAATAACTGGATAAATAATACACATGTAGGACTTCTAACATTAGAATCTGAAAGTAGGAGATAAAACTTCAGAAGTTACTTGTAGCTTTTTATATTATTACATGAAAAGCTTCCTATAAGACATAGTAAAAGACATTATGTTGCTTATAGTTCAAAACACTGGGTAGAAAGTCAAATCTTGACATTGATATGAGAATGAAAATATGATAAACATTTTTAAATAAAGGGACATTCTTAAGGAAGTATAAGAATAGTAGTGTATTTTAAGAACAAAACATTTCTTTCAAATGTAAATATACTTTTTTCACAAATAAAAAGAAATCACAAAATAGAATAAGGCTTTTATCTTTGTATTAGGATTCAGATAGACTCTGATGTTGAAAGATGATTAGAGTGGTTTATTGTCAAAGAAAACCAAGTCCAAATGATGGATCATCTGTAATTAAAATGTCAGAGCAGTAAATTGTGTTTTGTGACTCAAATCATGAGCCCATGTGATTCATTCTTCCTTTTTCTTTTTCTCTAAACAAGTGCTACTAACTGGTTAAGATTTGCAAATCTTTAATTACTAATCTTGTGCCATAGATCTTTATGGAACTGACTTTTAAGTTTAAAAAAAAATGTTTTTAATCTCAGCTGCAAAGCACAGGGGGAGATTAGAAATTGATTCAGTAGTCATCTTAAAAGGAGAAAAAATGGGCATGGGGAAGACATGCGCTACTCTTGGGATGATGAAAAGTCCCCATCACTGATGTTAATCACCTGTTTTGCTGACCGCTAGAAAAAGGAAAAGCCGAGTAGATTTTTTTTGTCTTTGCAATCAGCTTTTGTTTTTGTTACGCTTTTATTTGTGCAATTCAGTTACTTTTTCCTCTTTCTTTTTTTTTTTTTTGGTTCTTTGTTTGTTTTTCTTATTTCTCATCATCACTTCATATGGGCAGTGAAAATTCAGAGGAGCGACAGGCAACTTTCCTGGGATTCCTGGGCCAGCAACCACTGCAGCCTTCATACCAACCACCACTGTAGCACGCACCACCCTGATCATTGCAGACCATCAGCCCTGACATTCCCGAAAGCGCCTCCTCCAAACAGCCCTCGTAATGTTCCAGGCTTTCTTTCTACCCTTTCATTTAAATTTGAGTCTTTTCACTCCATCCTTTTCATTACATCTTTGGCTTCACGGATGTTCTGTGCTTTTTGGGTAGTAGCAATGTATCATTTTCAACATCTCCTAACTCTTTTCTTTTCATCGGAAAACATTTATCATTAGTAAAAGTTGTAAATGTTCTTAATGACTTAGATGTTCAGAAAATAACAATTCAGATTGTTATATAGAGTGCAATGTTCTCAGATCCTCTGTGTCTGTGGAATCACTTAATGAAGTTCATGTCATGAAATAGCTATGAAAATGAGATGATGTGTATCTGATGCATTGAATTTTTGTTTATGGAGAAACTTGTATTAATGTTGTTTGTTTTTGTCTAAAGCAAAATTTACAGTCTCTCTGTGTTCCTAAGTGCTTCCGAGGATCCTGCTGCTCCTAGCATTTGTGAGATCCTGTATTGCTGCGATGCTAAAGCTCTGGCTCAGGGCCTCCAGGCTTCTCTCTGTCTGGCGGGGTGCCCACAAGCCACTGCTAGCACCATGTGGTCTTTCTGAATTGTTACTGGTTGACGAGTGTGGCAAGCTCACACCCCACCTAGGAATGCTCTGTGCCAAGTCTTTGCTCTCTTACAGCAGCTTTGGTGTCTTCATCCTTCTCTCCTACCTCCATGAGTGCGTACAGCCTGAGTTCCCTGAACATGGGAACTTTACCTCGAAGCCTCTACTCTACCAGCCCACGTGGAACCATGATGAGGAGGAGACTCAAAAAGAAAGACTTCAAAAGCTCATGTAAGTGGAATGTTAGTCAGTGTCGTTTGGCCTGGAGAAAACATGTGGGTGTCTAAAATCTTTAAAACCTATAGTTGTCTTTTTTTTTTTTTTTTTTTTTTTTTTTTTGACAGGCAGAGTTAGTGAGAGAGAGAGACAGAGAGAAAGGTCTTCCTTTTTCTGTTGGTTCACCCTCCAAGTGGCCACCACGGCTGGCGCGTTGCGGCCAGCATGCTGCGCCGATCCAAAGCCAGGGGCCAGGTGCTTCCTCCTGGTCTCCCATGCAGGTGCAGGGCCCAAGGACCTAGACCATCCTCCACTGCACTCCCGGGCCACAGCAGAGAGCTGGACTGGAAGAGGAGCAACCGGGACAGAATCTGACGCCCCAACCGGGACTAGAACCCGGGGTGCCGGTGCCATAAGCGAAGGATTAGCCTAGTGAGCTGCAGCACTGGCCAAAAACCTATAGTCTTTGAAACCTATAGGAAGAGTGTTTGTTGGTGCCTGATTGGTCAGGAGATGCCAAGTGCTTGACAGCTCCATGCCAAAGACCATTGATATGATAGCCCTTATGTATAGCATATTGATTACATTGAATATAGCTTCATACTGAATTTGTTCATACCCATTTAAGAATTTTTTCTAGCTCTTTTTTAAAAATAATTTCTTAAGAGAGAGAGAGAGCTCCCATTCACTGGTTCACTCCCCAGATGCCCTCAATGGCAGGAGCTGAGAACTCAATCTAAGTTTTTCCACATGGTTGGCGGGAACCCATTACTTGAACCATCACCACTGCATGGAACCATTAAACCCAGGAGCTCCAATATAGGATGCAGGCATCTTAACCTGCTCCTCTTGTTCTATTGATGTCAAAAAAAACCTGAAGATGTGATTTTTTTTCCCTTTAAGACTCTGTTATACTCAGGGTAGCTTTAGACATGAGACCTTGGTTCTTAGTTTCCTGTTCACTCTAAATCAATTTTGTAGAAATGATGCCATCCATTTGATAGAGGTAAGAATTCATGCATTTGTTTAATGTTTTTGTAAGTTTTATACTATATTATATTTCATGCTCCTTCCCTTAAAAGGCAGTGGGTTTGAACATTCTTTTTCAAAGTATATTGTGTTCCCCATGCTTCTGAAACTTTCCCCCATAACCCTACCAATTGAGAATCACTGCTCTTAGATATATTTATGTTACCCACTGCAGCCTTAGGAAGATTAGAATGTTTGTCTTCACAGCATATATCCTAAAGCCTAAGAATTTCAACCATGAGTCTTGTAAATAGGATCTTCTGAGGGAGCCAAGCGCAACACAATCCAGGCAAGGGTGGGATTATATAGTTGGCTACTTGCTTTGGGATAGTCAGTTGTATGTATAAAGATTAAAAATGGTGATTGAGTGTTTCAACAAATAGGAAACAGAAATCACTTCCCTCCCCCAAATTTTCCTTTTATGCTAAAGAGGGGACCATAATGATCAGAATCTCTTATTATCCTTACATAATTTTTTGGGGAAAGGCACCATTTCTACCTTTCCACCTGTATTCCTTCTGATAGCCATGATTATGATTCCTGGCAAGAAAAAGATGAGATCTCTTCTTGTGCTTACCGTGGGAATAAATATAAGGAACACTCTTAGATTACTGAAATACAACCAAGCCCATATACTTCCAAGGCTGCTATTGATGAGAGAATGCTCTTGAGAGAAGGAGCAGTTGGACTTGTTTACTCTACAGCTTGGTTGCCAGAGATTCATCTTTTTGAAGGATAGCTCATAAAACCCCAGTGCCAGTGTCACCTTTGAACACTAGCCATCACCCACCTGAGAAGAGGCATCTTCAAGTGACAGGAACCTGAAAGCTCCCTTTTAAAGAAAGGATAAGGCCTCCAGTGTGGACTTGCCTATCCTTTCAAACATACAGAGATTTTTTTTTTACCCTTAGTAGTATATGATGTGATAGTATATTTGAAATTAGGGAAATGAGAGATACAGTTTACTCAAAATGAGAACAAGTTGCTTCTAGAGTCCCATATATCTCTGAGCTAAACACTAGAGTGAACTCTTTACTCTTGGAAGAATTCTCTTGGAATAAACCATTTAAAGGCCACATAGTGATCTGGTTATGAGCCTAGACTCTGGAACCAGACTGCCTAAGTTCTCATCTCAGGTCATTATTTTCTACCTATGGGACCTTGAGCAAGTTTCTTAAGCTAAAAATAGGGATACTTATATACTTGAGTAGTTGTGAAAGTTCAGCTTGTGTGTGTATTTCAAAAGTTCATGGGATGAGCCGGCGCCGCGGCTCACTAGGCTAATCCTCCGCCTAGCGGCGCCGGCACACCGGGTTCTAGTCCCGGTCGGGGCTCCGGATTCTGTCCCGGTTGGGGCTCCGGATTCTGTCCCGGTTGCCCCTCTTCCAGGCCAGCCCTCTGCTGTGGCCAGGGAGTGCAGTGGAGGATGGCCCAGGTGCTTGGGCCCTGCACCCCATGGGAGACCAGGAAAAGCACCTGGCTCCTGGCTCCTGCCATCGGATCAGCGCGGTGCGCCAGCCGCAGCGTGCCGGCCGCGGCGGCCATTGGAGGGTGAACCAACGGCAAAAGGAAGACCTTTCTCTCTGTCTCTCTCTCTCTCACTGTCCACTCTGCCTGTCAAAAAATTAAAAAAAAAAAAAGTTCATGGGATGAAAATGGAATTAAAAGATATGGTTATTATGGTACAAAAAATTTGAAATTTATGTATAGCTTTTTCATAATACATGTTTTCCATGAACTTTTTGAAGACATCTTATAATGCTAGAACACCACCACCTCGGTCTCCAGTGGACAGGGACCAAATCACTTGAGCCATTATCTGCTGCTCTCACAGGATGCATTAGCAGGAAACTTGATGAGAAAGAGCATGTGGAATGATCCAGCACTCTGATATGGAATGCAGGCATCCCAAGCAGAAGATTACCCATTGTGCCACAATGCCTGGTCTGTGTGTAGAATATTTTATATATAATGACTTGGTGTGTAGTGCTCCTCACTGACAGAAACAGGCTCACAGCCCTCAGCAGGGAAGAGCAATTAAAATTAACTCCTAATGTTTGTAGTTCTGCTTCCAAGGCTAACCATTTGTTTGTGTTAGGTAAGACTTGCTGTGTTGATTAAGGCCATTAGTGAATACAAATGAATGATAATATGTTTGGTCCTCTCAGGTTGATATATTTACACATCTTGAATTTTGTAGTAGGAAACAAAGCTGAAGCTACACTGTCATGGAAACCCATTACCAACTCATAAATAGTCTTGAATAAGCACATTATTCTCCCACATAGTAAGAGTATATACAGAAACCTGGTTTAAGAAATTTCTAGCTGTTCATATTTGCTGTGGACTCTAGCCACTAGAGCACCATTGACCATATGATAGCAGAATGTTTATAAGTGTCTAAAGGATCATATATTTTATATTTAATCAAACAATAAGTCCAAAATGCTATGAACTTTTGTTCTTAACTCATAGACACCTGAAAAAATAATGATAGTATTCCAAATTCAGAGGGGAAAATGTTGAGGTTTTCTTTTGTTTATTGCTTAAGATTGGTGCAGTTACATTAGATATAGAGGTCGTCCCAAATAACATAATAAAAGTATTATTGCCACTCTCAATATGCCATGGCTTATTTCCACCACTTTATTTATGTCTTTATTCTGTGCACCATTTGCTGCCTGCTTTCTGACGCTTAGGTTTCTATAGCAACCAAGCCATTTGTATGGATGGTGAATCATGGCAAAAGTCACAAACGTAATAAAAAATCTCTTTGTTGTATTGGTGATAAGTTGAGGCCAGAGCTTACAAAACAGAAAATAAACCACGTGTTTTCAGAACAAAGTAAAGACAAGGCCAGAAAAGAATGAAATCTTCTCACACAAATATTAAAAAATTCTGTATCATTGACCAAAAGGAAAAACTACAGAAAGTTTGTAAAAACATGTTGCAAGGATTAAAATAGGAAGGTACCATATTTGCCCCACAAAGAGAAGGAGGGGTATACCAAGCACTTGGCTTTGGGGAGCATCACAAAGCCTAGAGAGCGCTGCAGAGCCTTGTCATAGAGGGAACCCCTTCATCCCCGCTCCTGGAAACTTACTGGCCTTTCCCCCACTGCCTGGTGGCCCCTTTTTCTGACACAGAGGCCAAGCCTCCTTCCAGAACCCTGCCATCTGCCTGTCATGGCCGCATGGCTGAGCAGTGGATCTGGCTAATTCCCCTGTTTTCTGCTTCCTGCTGCTGTGCACACAGCTAGCTTGGAGACCTCACCTGTTTCCAGTAACACTGAATTTCAGTAAAGAATAGACATTAGAACAAGTTTCCAAAAATGGTCTCTGCTTCTTTTGTCATCCTAACTTACTAATAGCAAGGGTGACATTGAAAAGAGCTAGAAGGAAGAAAATGAAAAACCATACAACTTTTACAGTCCCTTCCACAGACCCCTGGAAAAAGAATGAAGATACAGGCAGTTAATGGTAAGATTTTATAAGTGAGCAGGCAGAAAGATGTCAAAGGGGACAGCGCCTCATTTGGAGAAAGGAGCTGTTGGCCACTTCTACTGCCCCCCCCAAACTGTGTCACATGACACACAATGTGTTGAGTCCACACAGCAGGTCAACTCTGGTGTGAAGCGTGTTAGTGAGACAAGTCTCAAATTGCAAGATCAAATCATAAAAAGACTGTATTAATAAATCTTTGAGATCCTTTGTTCCTTATGCTTTTTAAATGCTTCTCACATCTGAGAATAAACCTGCCAGCCTTCTCAATTAAGTAAACATTTGGCAGACTTTTTAACTTTTAGAGCCAAATAGCTGTCTTTGCTCCCTCTTCCCTTCTTTACACTGGGAAAGACAAAAATGGACAAAAGTAGTCATTCACTGCAAACCTAAACAGCTGTGAGCAGAACCCTCCAAGCATGAACGTGAACAGGCAGAGCACATGCAAATCCCAAACACAACCTTGACAACACAGCTGTTAGCAAG